AATCCATCCCAACAAAATCGTTGGGCTTGGGTTTCGTTTCCTTGAGAGAGACAGAGACGAGACAAACAGAGAGTGAGAGATAGAGCTCTAAGATTCGTTGCCTTCACAAAGCGAGACAGAGAGCTCTCAAGAGAGGAGGTGGGTAAATATATCATTACCCCTTCATAACCCATCGGCTGGGATTGAAACCTATGGGGGAGGTGGGTTAATTTTAACCCATGTAACAAAGTTAAAAATAATTTTAGCATCCAAGTCAAGGATAGACTCGGATTTTATATACTGGCTATTTTTTTGCTTTCCAAACAAAGGATTTGTGGGATTGCCTTATTATCCTATCCTTATGGGTGTTAACCCACCTTAACCCACTACCCAAACACACCCCTAATGGTTCAATGTTTGGAAGACACCCTCTCAATTAAGCACAGGATTTCAATGACACAGACCATGGGAGTTTATATAAAATTAGGGCAATGGAGTTGATCATACTATTTTAACATCAATCTCGATTNACATACCACTGGGAAGATTACAAGGAGTCTTCTTGCACCTTTGGAGACAATCTTGCCAGAGACATAGCAGTAGGAGAGAGATAAGAAGACAGAAAGCCAAACCTTGATGAAGTTGTTGATCTCTCCTTCCATCCAATAACTCAGAACGTTTTTGATGTCTTCCCCTCCCTCCATTTTTCTCCTTCAGTAATTTCTCTTTCCTTTGTGTTTTGGAGCCCTTCTTTTCAGGGTAGGGGTTGGAGACTTGGAGTTGGACCATTTTTTTTATTTTTCAAAGGCTGGGATGGTTTTGCACCCATTTACTCCTCAACTACTATTTGTGTGGAGAGCAATGAAGTCCGAGTAAGGTCTAGAATTCTCCTGGGGTGTGTTTGGATATATTTGGATAATCGGCATGGATAGGAATAAATAGAATTTTTTGTGTCCTAACTCATCTCACTCAAACCCACTCAAGCATTTAATTGGATGGGTTATGTATGTCATCCAACTCAAGCCATTGTTTGACAAGAACAATTGAATTGGATGGACTTCACCTTGACTTTTATTGACATTTATAATTGTACCCATTAAAATGAAGACCATAAAAAACTAAAAAATTGGGGAAGTTTTGCATAGATAGAGAAAGCACAGGAGTAATACCCACCACCATCGCCACAACAGAAATACCAAAGACCACCACCACTGTCACAACAAAAACACCCATCACCCTCACACCAGAAACACTCACCACCATCGCCACAAAAATGATTCAAATCTGAAAAATAGAGAGGAGAATTAGGGTTTCAAAATCACCCACCATCACATCAGATCTGAGAAATTAAGAATTTAGGGTTCAAAATCATCCACCATCGTGGTGGTGCGAGTGACTGTTTACAATCGAGGTTAGGGGTGGTATAGGTGAAGTTCTCTTCTTCATTCGGTCCACTCAGGCACCCAATCCATCCCAACAAAATCGTTGGGCTTGGGTTTCGTTTCCTTGAGAGAGACAGAGACGAGACAAACAGAGAGTGAGAGATAGAGCTCTAAGATTCGTTGCCTTCACAAAGCGAGACAGAGAGCTCTCAAGAGAGGAGGTGGGTAAATATATCATTACCCCTTCATAACCCATCGGCTGGGATTGAAACCTATGGGGGAGGTGGGTTAATTTTAACCCATGTAACAAAGTTAAAAATAATTTTAGCATCCAAGTCAAGGATAGACTCGGATTTTATATACTGGCTATTTTTTTGCTTTCCAAACAAAGGATTTGTGGGATTGCCTTATTATCCTATCCTTATGGGTGTTAACCCACCTTAACCCACTACCCAAACACACCCCTAATGGTTCAATGTTTGGAAGACACCCTCTCAATTAAGCACAGGATTTCAATGACACAGACCATGGGAGTTTATATAAAATTAGGGCAATGGAGTTGATCATACTATTTTAACATCAATCTCGATTTTTTTTATATCAAACTAGTATTTGTAGAGTCATAATTTAACTCAAATAAACTGTAATTAACTTGTATTGAAGAGATCCTTTATTCATTATGATACACCATTTTTGAACATAGACAACTCAATTTCAAATTCTCCTTTCCTATCGTCCTACATTTAAGAGGGGGTCCACGTAAAGGTCCTTTTTTTTCTCTGGGAATCATGGTTTTCTGTTGTTTTTTTTTTCTTCCTTTTTTCCCCTCTTTTTGGTGGGGCCTTTATATGGTTTGGCTTTCTCGTGGGTTGTCCGAGGTGGCNGAGGGGGTCCACGTAAAGGTCCTTTTTTTTCTCTGGGAATCATGGTTTTCTGTTGTTTTTTTTTTCTTCCTTTTTTCCTCTCTTTTTGGTGGGGCCTTTATATGGTTTGGCTTTCTCGTGGGTTGTCCGAGGTGGCTTTTGCATAATATATGCCTGCNAATCGGGCATGGATAGGAATAAATAGAATTTTTTGTGTCCTAACTCATCTCACTCAAACCCACTCAAGCATTTAATTGGATGGGTTATATATGTCATCCAACTCAAGCCATTGTTTGACAAGAACAATTGAATTGGATAGATTTCATCTTGACTTTTATTGACATTTATCACTATACCCATTAAAATGAAGACCATAAAAACTAGAAAATTGGGGAAGTTTTGCATAGATAGAGAAAGCACAGGAGTAATACCCACCACCATCGCCACAACAGAAACACTGAAGACTACCACCACTGTCACAACAAAAACACCCACCACCCTCACAACAGAAACACTCACCACCATCACCACAAAAATGATTCAAATCTGAAAAACTGAGAGGAGAATTAGGGTTTCAAAATCACCCACCATCACATCAGATCTGAGAAATTGAGAATTTAGGGTTCAAAATCATCCACCATCGTGGTGGTGTGGGTGACTGTGAACAATCGAGGTTAGGGGTGGTATAGGTGAAGTTCTCTTCTTCATTCGGTCCACTCAGGCACCCAATCCATCCCAACAAAATCGTTGGGCTTTGGCTTCGGTTCCTTGAGAGAGAAAGAGACGAGACAAACAGAGAGCGAGAGATAGAGCTCTAAGATTTGTTGCCTTCCCAAAGCGAGACAGAGAGCTCTCAAGAGAGGAGGTGGGTAAATATATCATTACCCCTTCATAACCCATCGGCTGGGATTGAAACCTATGGGGGAGGTGGGTTAATTTTAACCCATGTAACAAAGTTAAAAATAATTTTAGCATCCAAGTCAAGGATAGACTCGGATTTTATATACTGGCTATTTTTTTGTTTTCCAAACAAAGGATTTGTGGGATTGCCTTATTATCCTATCCTTATGGGTGTTAACCCACCTTAACCCACTACCCAAACACACCCCTAATGGTTCAATGTTTGGAAGACACCCTCTCAATTAAGCACAGGATTTCAATGACACAGACCATGGGAGTTTATATAAAATTAGGGCAATGGAGTTGATCATACTATTTTAACATCAATCTCGATTTTTTTTATATCAAACTAGTATTTGTAGAGTCATAATTTAACTCAAATAAACTGTAATTAACTTGTATTGAAGAGATCCTTTATTCATTATGATACACCATTTTTGAACATAGACAACTCAATTTCAAATTCTCCTTTCCTATCGTCCTACATTTAAGAGGGGGTCCACGTAAAGGTCCTTTTTTTTCTCTGGGAATCATGGTTTTCTGTTGTTTTTTTTTTCTTCCTTTTTTCCTCTCTTTTTGGTGGGGCCTTTATATGGTTTGGCTTTCTCGTGGGTTGTCCGAGGTGGCTTTTGCATAATATATGCCTGCCACTATTTACTAGAACACTGGGGTCTGCTTTGTTCTCTCTCTATGCTCTTCTTTTTTCGTAATGTGGAACATCATTATATCAAGGAATGATATCAACCCCCTGTGAAAATAGACATTACAAGACATCAAAACAGATTAGACTACAAGATAGTCCACAACACCCTTTTTAAGAGCTTTATGCACTGTATTCTATATGGAACTTCACATTTATAACTCTACCTCCGGCTCCGGCCAACTGTGGCCAGCACACAGTTTTAATCCTCTACTACTCTGCATCAAACCTCCCTTCATTTTCACTTGACTGGTCATTTTTCTCACCTCACATGTGAATGGATACCACGTCCCCTGCTACCAATCCTATTCTAATCTCTGAATTGGAAGTTGTCACTAGCAACTGGCAGGATGGTTTAAGCAATGTTTCAAATGTATTGGGAAGGCCTTTATATGCTGACAAACTCACTGAACAATGCAAACGAATTAGCTATGCAAATGTTTGTGTTGAATTAGATGCTGCACAGGAGCTAATTGACTCCTTTGACCTTATGGTCAGTGAATCCTAAGTTATTGAAGTTAGAGTTGAATACCCTTGGAAACCAAAGGTTTGCACCTTTTGCAAAGTATTTGGTCACTCACATCTTAGATTTGCTGAACTACTGAATGATGATAGTAATCCAAGCCAACCTTCTGCTTTGGCTGTTTGTTACATATTATACTTGCATTTCACATCAAGGCTGCACTGGTGCCTCAAAGTTCTGCTGTCATCAAATTAATGGTTGAAAGCAAAAGCTTATTGATGTAAACATAATTAAACATAAGCTTATCAATCCAAATTGGCAAGGACGAGACTCCAAAAGGGTCGAGCTGCCACTCACTTTTGCTGATAAAGCCAGGTCTTTGCCCAAGGCAACAACAACACAAAAGAATAGCAGGCAGAAGAGAAGAAGATACCAAAGAAGAAAGCTAAAGAAGCATGCTTTAGTAGGTCACAGTCAGGAAAGGAACAAAGCATCATTTCAAAAAAAAATCAACTAAGAGATTACAAACTGCACTACTCTTGAGCAAACTTCAAACAGAATAATTTTGCCTCCTTCAAATTCAGTCTCGATTTACAGTCATGCAAAAATCAGCCAGAGAAAGAGTGCAAGATTTGGAATAGGTCAAGCTCAAATTTATTAAAGAGCACACAAGAAATGAACATCTAGCTAATTTTTACCTCTTATCATCATCTCAATAGTCAATCTTAGGCAATCTTTTCTTTTCTTTTCTTTTCTTTTTTTCTTCTTTTGGCATTTTTTGGGAACAAATTCAGGCAAGATTGACATTGAAAATCAAGACTGGAAAAGAGGACAGGGCAAATAAACAGCACTACAGGCATTCATGTCTCAATTTACGTTGCAGAATGCCAATCTTTCCGAATATCAAAAGTGTAGTTGATCTGCAAGTAGCACTTGTTGTCATCATCAAGGAACTGTAAACAGAGAAAGAACAAAAAAAGAGGATATTGAATTGTTAATAAGAGTAAAACTGAAATAGCCAAACTCTACTAAATTAGCAGAAGGATGCAGATATAAAGTCTTAATTCCCAAACAATGGGTATCCCACCAGTTTGAACTTCACATGTATGCTTTGTAGAACATGTGGCCACTTCATGGATGTAAATTTGAAATCTTCATTGGGTGACAGAGGCCTTAACTTGGCCTCACATGCCCTTTTCAAATAACTGTCCTAGAGCTATGGCAGATGATGGTCCCCATACATACTCAGAGGAGTTATTGTAGCACATGCAAGAACTGATGGAGGGGTAATAATGGCGTTTATTAAGCAAGGGGCAGAGGTTGAATTTACCTTTGTTCTAGCTGAATAAGGTCCTCTAGCAAAAATCCCAGAAGGGGTGGTTTCTTCTGGCATTTCATGTGTGTAAGGCTCTAACTGAGGACTGAAAGTTCCTATCATTTCTTTTGTGCTGTCCACTGTAAATTAGGATTCATTGAAGGAAAAACCCACAATCAATTACTTGAAAACCCAATTCTTCTGGCGTAAACAGTAAGGTACAGAGAAGAGGAGGGAGGAGGAGTACCTTTAATACCAGTTTTCCAAACCGTATTTGTATATTTGAACCCTGATACTATGTTATTGCTGACCTCGAAAGTGAACTTTAGGCTGTAACGGCTACCTTCTTTCAATGTAAACCATGGGCCTTTGGGATTTCCATTCTCAGGAATTGGAAGAAAAATATCAGGTCTACCAGGAGATTTAATGGCAAGGCTCAAGATCTTAACTTCTGGATCCAAAGTTTCTACAATATTGAGGATTGGTAAATTAATAACTGCAAAAGAGAAACCTATACCGTTCCATTACAGAACAGAACAGAAAGATAACGCATTTTTAGCGTACGAAAACAACATGGTTTACATCAGCAATTAGTTTTAGTCATGTTGTTGAAGGGTGTTTTTACTTTTCAGAAATCCATTTCATACTGAGGAATTTTTCAACAAGGGAAAGGAATTTTTTTGTTGATGGTCATAAAATTATTGCTAGTATTACTGCTGTAAAATCCCAATTTTTTACTTATTTTTCAAAAATCTTCTCTCCATAAAGAAAATGAGAACATGGAGAATGATTACCTCCAACAGAATGGATATCAACGCTGCCAAGAAGTTGTTCCTTCCACCTCCTCAAGCTCTCATCATCCTAAATTCTCAAATGTCATAAACAAACAGAAGTGTTTTAAAATGCAATTTAAGCAAACAAATTGAAGTAGTGAAGAACATAGAAAATTAGAAATGCTTGTTTTCAGTGCAAAAACGAACCTTATCTTTCTCCCATTGTTCTTTGAGAGTGCACTGAGGACCCAACTGTATTTTCCCTTCAACATCCTCCTCCTCCTCCTCCTCCTCCTGATCAGTTGTATATAGAGAAGTTTCACTCATCTGCNGCTTTTGCATAATATATGCCTGCCACTATTTACTAGAACACTGGGGTCTGCTTTGTTCTCTCTCTATGCTCTTCTTTTTTCGTAATGTGGAACATCATTATATCAAGGAATGATATCAACCCCCTGTGAAAATAGACATTACAAGACATCAAAACAGATTAGACTACAAGATAGTCCACAACACCCTTTTTAAGAGCTTTATGCACTGTATTCTATATGGAACTTCACATTTATAACTCTACCTCCGGCTCCGGCCAACTGTGGCCAGCACACAGTTTTAATCCTCTACTACTCTGCATCAAACCTCCCTTCATTTTCACTTGACTGGTCATTTTTCTCACCTCACATGTGAATGGATACCACGTCCCCTGCTACCAATCCTATTCTAATCTCTGAATTGGAAGTTGTCACTAGCAACTGGCAGGATGGTTTAAGCAATGTTTCAAATGTATTGGGAAGGCCTTTATATGCTGACAAACTCACTGAACAATGCAAACGAATTAGCTATGCAAATGTTTGTGTTGAATTAGATGCTGCGCAGGAGCTAATTGACTCCTTTGACCTTATGGTCAGTGAATCCTAAGTTATTGAAGTTAGAGTTGAATACCCTTGGAAACCAAAGGTTTGCACCTTTTGCAAAGTATTTGGTCACTCACATCTTAGATTTGCTGAACTACTGAATGATGATAGTAATCCAAGCCAACCTTCTGCTTTGGCTGTTTGTTACATATTATACTTGCATTTCACATCAAGGCTGCACTGGTGCCTCAAAGTTCTGCTGTCATCAAATTAATGGTTGAAAGCAAAAGCTTATTGATGTAAACATAATTAAACATAAGCTTATCAATCCAAATTGGCAAGGACGAGACTCCAAAAAGGTCGAGCTGCCACTCACTTTTGCTGATAAAGCCAGGTCTTTGCCCAAGGCAACAACAACACAAAAGAATAGCAGGCAGAAGAGAAGAATATACCAAAGAAGAAAGCTAAAGAAGCATGCTTTAGTAGGTCACAGTCAGGAAAGGAACAAAGCATCATTTCAAAAAAAAATCAACTAAGAGATTACAAACTGCACTACTCTTGAGCAAACTTCAAACAGAAAAATTTTGCCTCCTTCAAATTCAGTCTCGATTTACTGTCATGCAAAAATCAGCCAGAGAAAGAGTGCAAGATTTGGAATAGGTCAAGCTCAAATTTATTAAAGAGCACACAAGAAATGAACATCTAGCTAATTTTTACCTCTTATCATCATCTCAATAGTTAATCTTAGGCAATCTTTTCTTTTCTTTTCTTTTTTTCTTCTTTTGGCATTTTTTGGGAACAAATTCAGGNCAATCTTAGGCAATCTTTTCTTTTCTTTTCTTTTCTTTTTTTCTTCTTTTGGCATTTTTTGGGAACAAATTCAGGCAAGATTGACATTGAAAATCAAGACTGGAAAAGAGGACAGGGCAAATAAACAGCACTACAGGCATTCATGTCTCAATTTACGTTGCAGAATGCCAATCTTTCCGAATATCAAAAGTGTAGTTGATCTGCAAGTAGCACTTGTTGTCATCATCAAGGAACTGTAAACAGAGAAAGAACAAAAAAAGAGGATATTGAATTGTTAATAAGAGTAAAACTGAAATAGCCAAACTCTACTAAATTAGCAGAAGGATGCAGATATAAAGTCTTAATTCCCAAACAATGGGTATCCCACCAGTTTGAACTTCACATGTATGCTTTGTAGAACATGTGGCCACTTCATGGATGTAAATTTGAAATCTTCATTGGGTGACAGAGGCCTTAACTTGGCCTCACATGCCCTTTTCAAATAACTGTCCTAGAGCTATGGCAGATGATGGTCCCCATACATACTCAGAGGAGTTATTGTAGCACATGCAAGAACTGATGGAAGGGTAATAATGGCGTTTATTAAGCAAGGGGCAGAGGTTGAATTTACCTTTGTTCTAGCTGAATAAGGTCCTCTAGCAAAAATCCCAGAAGGGGTGGTTTCTTCTGGCATTTCATGTGTGTAAGGCTCTAACTGAGGACTGAAAGTTCCTATCATTTCTTTTGTGCTGTCCACTGTAAATTAGGATTCATTGAAGGAAAAACCCACAATCAATTACTTGAAAACCCAATTCTTCTGGCGTAAACAGTAAGGTACAGAGAAGAGGAGGGAGGAGGAGTACCTTTAATACCAGTTTTCCAAACCGTATTTGTATATTTGAACCCTGATACTATGTTATTGCTGACCTCGAAAGTGAACTTTAGGCTGTAACGGCTACCTTCTTTCAATGTAAACCATGGGCCTTTGGGATTTCCATTCTCAGGAATTGGAAGAAAAATATCAGGTCTACCAGGAGATTTAATGGCAAGGCTCAAGATCTTAACTTCTGGATCCAAAGTTTCTACAATATTGAGGATTGGTAAATTAATAACTGCAAAAGAGAAACCTATACCGTTCCATTACAGAACAGAACAGAAAGATAACGCATTTTTAGCGTACGAAAACAACATGGTTTACATCAGCAATTAGTTTTAGTCATGTTGTTGAAGGGTGTTTTTACTTTTCAGAAATCCATTTCATACTGAGGAATTTTTCAACAAGGGAAAGGAATTTTTTTGTTGATGGTCATAAAATTATTGCTAGTTTTACTGCTGTAAATCCCAATTTTTTACTTATTTTTCAAAAATCTTCTCTCCATAAAGAAAATGAGAACATGGAGAATGATTACCTCCAACAGAATGGATATCAACGCTGCCAAGAAGTTGTTCCTTCCACCTCCTCAAGCTCTCATCATCCTAAATTCTCAAATGTCATAAACAAACAGAAGTGTTTTAAAATGCAATTTAAGCAAACAAATTGAAGTAGTGAAGAACATAGAAAATTAGAAATGCTTGTTTTCAGTGCAAAAACGAACCTTATCTTTCTCCCATTGTTCTTTGAGAGTGCACTGAGGACCCAACTGTATTTTCCCTTCAACATCCTCCTCCTCCTCCTCCTCCTCCTGATCAGTTGTATATAGAGAAGTTTCACTCATCTGCCTGCTAACCTTATCTGGCTCATCCTCAACCTCTGGATCTGTAGGTGTTTTATTAGCTTCTGAAACTCTAGTGTCCTCCTTACCGTCCTTCTTGTTATCATCAAAACCCATACTTTTGGAACTTGAAGCAACTCCAACAGCCAAAGACATCAAAGAAAGCTCATTCAACAGTAGCAATTAACACGAGAACAAATGGCACCTAAAATGAGTAGCCTCACTAAAACTTAATATTAGGAGGAATAACAGAACTAAGAAGACCCCAAAGAGGAAAAGAACACAAAGACAAACACAAAGAACTAGAAATAATCTCCCTTACAAAAAAATGGGTGAGAAGATTCAGAGAGAGAGAGAGAGAGAGAGAGAGAGAGAGGGAGAGAGAGAGGCTTTAAGGCTTAGGTCAAAGAATTCAAGAAAAGCAAATAAAAAACAAAAGAATAAACCACCACAAAGGATAACGGATAACCCTTCTAAGAAGAAAAGACAACAGGAGAGAGAGAGAGAGATGTTGTTGGGTTGATTGTTAAAGGTTTTCTCTTTCTTTGTTTTTTTTTCTCCTATCTGGTAAGGATGCTTGAGGAAGTTGAAGCAGAGAATTGGAAATATTGGAAATGGTCATGAGGTGATCCGGAAATGTGAATAAATGAATGCAAGTGTGTGTGTGTGAGAGAGAGAGAGAGAGAGAGAGAGAGAGATCGTGAAGGTCACTAGTGCACTAGCTTTGAAGACCACGATTCGAGGGGAGTTCAACACATGAGATAGCCTAGGATTCGGTGGACGATAGAGATACCCCATTGACCTCTTCTCATTGGATGAGCTTATATGCCTTCTGTTTCAGCTTATAACACCCCGACTCATACGTAACTGCTACGTTCGATTTACCGGCCGTTGCTTTGTTGTTCTTCCCAAATACCATGCTTCGAAGTTAGTTCATACACCTTTCCAGAATATCTGGCAGTAACGTATAATAAGCCGTTGCTGCCATTACCATAGCAGTGTAGAATTCTGAAATCATCCACTACATTACTTACTCATCTATAATCATGACTCAAATTTTGAGTACAAAATATAATTTAACACATATCATCTTGGCGAAAAACTTAAATTTTTACTCAAATCTTATTAAAAATTCTCTTTATCTCCTTGTAAGCAATTTTTACCTTTTTTTTCCTTCAAAATATTTTTCTCTTCTTCCCTCTCCTAGTTTTCCTGTATTGAACCATGAACAAGTTCATTGTAAGATCACAGTCTAAAAAGTTCAGAAATTTCAATGGCCAAACCACTGTTCAAGCCTAAACCGCAAAATATATCTTGGCCACGCCAAATNCAAACACAAAGAACTAGAAATAATCTCCCTTACAAAAAAATGGGTGAGAAGATTCAGAGAGAGAGAGAGAGAGAGAGGGAGAGAGAGGCTTTAAGGCTTAGGTCAAAGAATTCAAGAAAAGCAAATAAAAAACAAAAGAATAAACCACCACAAAGGATAACGGATAACCCTTCTAAGAAGAAAAGACAACAGGAGAGAGAGAGAGAGATGTTGTTGGGTTGATTGTTAAAGGTTTTCTCTTTCTTTGTTTTTTTTTCTCCTATCTGGTAAAGATGCTTGAGGAAGTTGAAGCAGAGAATTGGAAATATTGGAAATGGTCATGTGGTGATCCGGAAATGTGANACTAGAAATAATCTCCCTTACAAAAAAATGGGTGAGAAGATTCAGAGAGAGAGAGAGAGAGAGAGAGAGAGAGAGGGAGAGAGAGAGGCTTTAAGGCTTAGGTCAAAGAATTCAAGAAAAGCAAATAAAAAACAAAAGAATAAACCACCACAAAGGATAACGGATAACCCTTCTAAGAAGAAAAGACAACAGGAGAGAGAGAGAGAGATGTTGTTGGGTTGATTGTTAAAGGTTTTCTCTTTCTTTGTTTTTTTTTCTCCTATCTGGTAAAGATGCTTGAGGAAGTTGAAGCAGAGAATTGGAAATATTGGAAATGGTCATGTGGTGATCCGGAAATGTGAATAAATGAATGCAAGTGTGTGTGTGTGAGAGAGAGAGAGAGAGAGAGAGAGAGAGATCGTGAAGGTCACTAGTGCACTAGCTTTGAAGACCACGATTCGAGGGGAGTTCAACACATGAGATAGCCTAGGATTCGGTGGACGATAGAGATACCCCATTGACCTGTTCTCATTGGATGAGCTTATATGCCTTCTGTTTCAGCTTATAACACCCCGACTCATACGTAACTGCTACGTTCGATTTACCGGCCGTTGCTTTGTTGTTCTTCCCAAATACCATGCAGTAACGTATAATAAGCCGTTGCTGCCATTACCATAGCAGTGTAGAATTCTGAAATCATCCACTACATTACTTACTCATCTATAATCATGACTCAAATACAAACTCAAATTTTGAGTACAAAATGTAATTTAACACATATCATCTCGGCGAAAAACTTAAATTTTTACTCAAATCTTATTAAAAATTCTCTTTTTCTCCTTGTAGCCAATTTTTACCTTTTTTTTCCTTCAAAATATTTTTCTCTTCTTCCCTCTCCTAGTTTTCCTGTATTGAACCATCAACAAGTTCATTGTAAGATCACAGTCTAAAAAGTTCAGAAATTTCAATGGCCAAACCACTGTTCAAGCCTAAACCGCAAAATATATCTTGGCCACGCCAAATCAAGATGCCTGACCCAGCAGTTGAACACATCATGTGAATAACAGAATATTCATATCAAAATATACATACTTTGCAAACATGGATGACTTGGAAAGCAGCAGATGATACATGTAAATCTCCTCTACGATAAAGCGGTGCATGTAGCTTCGCTGAAAGTGGGGTCGGTGAGGCTCAAAACAATGGTGCTTGGCAATAGCAAGCAGTGAAGGGAATGGGGTAGAGGAGTAAAATATAGCAGTTATTTTCTCTTTTCTTTGATTTTGGTAAAAATTTAGTTCACTTTGATTTGATATAGATTTGAGAAAAAGATTGGAGAGCGATTTTTGATAATTGAGTAAGAATTACAGATACTTTTTCGCTAATATGGGGTCTACACTTTTTTTTTTCAACCTGTCATTAAATTGTCAACTATTTTATTAATGTATGCAACCATCTAATGAGTCTCCTATAGGACAGACAAAGGAGAAATTTTGATATTCGAAAAGTACTATTTTGTTGCCAAGCTATTAGTATTCCCAACGCTTCAAGTTAATTNGAGAGAGAGGCTTTAAGGCTTAGGTCAAAGAATTCAAGAAAAGCAAATAAAAAACAAAAGAATAAACCACCACAAAGGATAACGGATAACCCTTCTAAGAAGAAAAGACAACAGGAGAGAGAGAGAGAGATGTTGTTGGGTTGATTGTTAAAGGTTTTCTCTTTCTTTGTTTTTTTTTCTCCTATCTGGTAAGGATGCTTGAGGAAGTTGAAGCAGAGAATTGGAAATATTGGAAATGGTCATGAGGTGATCCGGAAATGTGAATAAATGAATGCAAGTGTGTGTGTGTGAGAGAGAGAGAGAGAGAGAGATCGTGAAGGTCACTAGTGCACTAGCTTTGAAGACCACGATTCGAGGGGAGTTCAACACATGAGATAGCCTAGGATTCGGTGGACGATAGAGATACCCCATTGACCTCTTCTCATTGGATGAGCTTATATGCCTTCTGTTTCAGCTTATAACACCCCGACTCATACGTAACTGCTACGTTCGATTTACCGGCCGTTGCTTTGTTGTTCTTCCCAAATACCATGCAGTAACGTATAATAAGCCGTTGCTGCCATTACCATAGCAGTGTAGAATTCTGAAATCATCCACTACATTACTTACTCATCTATAATCATGACTCAAATACAAACTCAAATTTTGAGTACAAAATGTAATTTAACACATATCATCTCGGCGAAAAACTTAAATTTTTACTCAAATCTTATTAAAAATTCTCTTTTTCTCCTTGTAGCCAATTTTTACCTTTTTTTTCCTTCAAAATATTTTTCTCTTCTTCCCTCTCCTAGTTTTCCTGTATTGAACCATCAACAAGTTCATTGTAAGATCACAGTCTAAAAAGTTCAGAAATTTCAATGGCCAAACCACTGTTCAAGCCTAAACCGCAAAATATATCTTGGCCACGCCAAATCAAGATGCCTGACCCAGCAGTTGAACACATCATGTGAATAACAGAATATTCATATCAAAATATACATACTTTGCAAACATGGATGACTTGGAAAGCAGCAGATGATACATGTAAATCTCCTCTACGATAAAGCGGTGCATGTAGCTTCGCTGAAAGTGGGGTCGGTGAGGCTCAAAACAATGGTGATTGGCAATAGCAAGCAGTGAAGGGAATGGGGTAGAGGAGTAAAATATAGCAGTTATTTTCTCTTTTCTTTGATTTTGGTAAAAATTTAGTTCACTTTGATTTGATATAGATTTGAGAAAAAGATTGGAGAGCGATTTTTGATAATTGAGTAAGAATTACAGATACTTTTTCGCTAATATGGGGTCTACACTTTTTTTTTTCAACCTGTCATTAAATTGTCAACTATTTTATTAATGTATGCAACCATCTAATGAGTCTCCTATAGGACAGACAAAGGAGAAATTTTNTCTATACTTTTTTTTTTCAACCTGTCATTAAATTGTCAACTATTTTATTAATGTATGCAATCATCTAATGAGTCTCCTATAGGACAGACAAAGGAGAAATTTTGATATTCGAAAAGTACTATTTTGTTGCCAAGCTATTAGTATTCCCAACGCTTCAAGTTAATTATTTTTGAGACGTGAAAATACATACAACATACATAAAGAGTGTTTATTATCCTTTGCACGTAGCCTGCATTCATTATGTTAGTAACCAAAGAAGGTCGTGATACAAATATATATGCATTGTCTTTGTTCTGTGAATCTAATGTGAAAGAGCAGCTCCACTTTACAGAGAATCCGAGACGGTTTATGCTTAAATTGGTAGGTTATTGCGTTTAAAATAAAACCCACCCATTACTAATAAGTGCTTTAATCAATGTCATCCTAATAGATGGTGGTCCTACTCATTTGAAGCTTCTGGTACTCCAAATTAGTTGGGTTTTAGGGCCAGGAAGACATGGCTATGTCCACCAAAAAGTACTATTTACAAGTTCTCTCTCTAAAATGTAATAATTTCAGCATAAAATTAACAAGGCCATGGGGTCTCTGACTCCCCAGGCTGTTAGGTGTAATGATTGAAATCACCAATCAAGCCCATCAAATAATTTCCTCTTCTTCGGGTAAATCAATCAATTTAGTTTTAATTGCAGTACATGAGGTAGGTTAATAATGTGTTGGTGCATCAATGATTACTGCTGTAGTGGGTTCTACCATGCAAACATAATCGTGGGATGGGGGCTGTTAGAGCGGCTGCTAACTCGACTAATTTGTGCGCTTTGTCATTCTTTCTCCTTTGCATGTGACAGAACTTGAGTAACTCGATAAAAGTTCAGGATGTAAATCAGAAACTGTGGGGCTGTCTGCAAGATCCGCCGGCCTGGGGCGGGAGGTCTCTGAGAGGGACAGAGAGTCATCTTGGTAATAACAATATGAACCTTGTAAGCTGTTAAAACGAGATTAAATAGAATCCCAGTGCCAAGGATGATGGTTAGGATTCACTGTCAAGTAATGAATTTAAATATTACATAAAACACGCTCGATTGCAATGTTTATTAATCTCAAAAGAGCGGTTAGCTTTTCTAGAAAGTAAAGTAGCAAGTAAAATCCTGCCATAAAATTGGGGTAGTCATCAAGCATGAAAGTGAAGCATGCCACATTAACCTCAGATGATAAATGGGAATGTTCTACAAGTTCCACAATTCAGGAAAAAAAAAAAACAAACAAACAAACATGGCCACAATGCTAACCACCAGATGCAGCATGTGGACAACAAACTGATATTTGCATCTGAAACGAACTATCAATCACTTCCCCATTTTCTCACTACTCTCTCTTTAGCAGATTCACCGGTATAGACTTGGTCCTTGGGAGTATTATCAAAATTGGCATGACTAGCAGGATATGCCTTTCCAAGAATCTGTGATGTTATAAAAGTGAAACTATTCCTTGATCCTCGCAAAGCAAACAGCAATGGATTGAAGATGACAGCAAGCAACACGTCACCTTTCGCAATTATCAGATACTGTCAGTGCAAGTATAAAGAAGAACTGAGACAGAGAAAAGAACCGGGGGCGATCTAGGGGAGGGTTACAAATTATATCCAAGGGAACCTTCAATACTTGTATAAAAGGTGCAGTTGTAACTGCTTACCATGACAATAATACCTAAGACAGTAAGACTTGTTTGCTGTGCTTCCTGCCAGAAACGATCACCATCTGATCCACCAAACCATCGACCCCATCTAAACCAACCCCCTTTGCCAGAATCACCTCCTCCACCCGCTTCCTCTCTCCTCTTAATTTCTTTGTCCCATTTTTCATACTCAGTTTTCTTTCCGCCAAGTGCAGTTTCTAATGCTTTCCTGGCCTCTTCCTGCAATGAGTTACGCAAAGATGAGTCTAACCAAGCAAAAGAAAAAGAGAGCTGATAATAAAGAAAGAATGCGTTAATTGGCATCAATCTAGCATCTGACACTTAATACGTGAGAGGATACCTCCTATACAGAACCTCCTGATATGCAATATATTTGGTTCACCATAGATGTACTGCAAAAGCTTAACTCAGCAAAGTCTTAAACAGTGATGGTTACATGCAAGAATGCCCTCTCAGTCGATATGCTTATGCATGCAAAGATCAATCCAAAATTTTGTTCTTGTTGTCGGCCTAACAATCTGCCACAACCCTTCTTCCATTGAGCACCCAATAACATAGGAGAAGTTTTATGATGTTTGCATTGTAGATCCCCATTTTTCTTAAAACAAAAAAAAAACTGACATTCAACGATTCAGTAAATTGTTTAAAAAAAAAAAATTCAGCAAGTTTACCTAATGTAATGGTTATACTGATTAGGCCCATTTCATTTGGAGGACGATAAAGTCAATGTAAAAATGTACACACCTAAAGAAGGTTGCATCACGTTAGAATTTTTGCTGACAGCTTGGGCTTGGTTGGTGGCTAACTAGGTTAAGGGTAACACCACATGCTTGGGTTCAAGTCTTATTGGGAGTTTCAATCTTCAAGTCATCCCTGCTTACCTATCAACTACCACCTAATTAATTACTCCACGAAAAAAGTTTCACCCAAGGAAAAACAATCAGTCCACTGATCATGGTAGCCTAGAAAAGCCTTTGTCAAGGTGAATTGTATAGTTTACTGCAATGCATTAGTCCAGAAGACTAGGATGGACAATAGCAATAGTTTGGCAGATTTCAAATTGCCCTCGTGGATATACAATCGATATATCTAGTCATCGACTTTTGGTATACAGTGAACAAAACCCTCCTTCAAGTAATCACCTTTAACTTTGAGGACAGTAAAGCAAGGGCCAGAAAAGGCACAGGCATAATATAGTTTGCACGACTGCATTTGGCAGTGGAGCTGTATAATCAGCAAGTTCATTCGGATGGCAAAATAATTGATCAGATCATTCCATTCAAATTATCAAATCCCCAATTGTTATTTACATTATACTGAGAAAATTGAAGACCTCGATAAACAATTATATACTGAAAACAACGTTTACGCCTAAAATTTTCTCAGTAGCCAAACAATGGAATCAAAATACTGTTTCACGACGNAAAAAAAACTGACATTCAACGATTCAGTAAATTGTTTAAAAAAAAAAAATTCAGCAAGTTTACCTAATGTAATGGTTATACTGATTAGGCCCATTTCATTTGGAGGACGATAAAGTCAATGTAAAAATGTACACACCTAAAGAAGGTTGCATCACGTTAGAATTTTTGCTGACAGCTTGGGCTTGGTTGGTGGCTAACTAGGTTAAGGGTAACACCACATGCTTGGGTTCAAGTCTTATTGGGAGTTTCAATCTTCAAGTCATCCCTGCTTACCTATCAACTACCACCTAATTAATTACTCCACGAAAAAAGTTTCACCCAAGGAAAAACAATCAGTCCACTGATCATGGTAGCCTAGAAAAGCCTTTGTCAAGGTGAATTGCATAGTTTACTGCAATGCATTAGTCCAGAAGACTAGGATGGACAATAGCAATAGTTTGGCAGATTTCAAATTGCCCTCGTGGATATACAATCGATATATCTAGTCATCGACTTTTGGTATACAGTGAACAAAACCCTCCTTCAAGTAATCACCTTTAACTTTGAGGACAGTAAAGCAAGGGCCAGAAAAGGCACAGGCATAATATAGTTTGCACGACTGCATTTGGCAGTGGAGCTTTATAATCAGCAAGTTCATTCGGATGGCAAAATAATTGATCAGATCATTCCATTCAAATTATCAAATCCCCAATTGTTATTTACATTATACTGAGAAAATTGAAGACCTCGATAAACAATTATATACTGAAAACAACGTTTACGCCTAAAATTTTCTCAGTAGCCAAACAATGGAATCAAAATACTGTTTCACGACGGAATTAAACATGGCGGTTGCGAACTCCAAGATTGGTACCTACCTGTTTGCGATTGTCTGAGAAGAGACAAGAAAATCTGCCTCTGCATTTTATCTTGTGCTGCAGGGAAGTCCAGCTATGGCGGTGGGCAGTGCTGCTGAATAGAGTACGAAGAGATGAGTTCGGAAGGGTTGACGAGGAGCGGCGAAGCGACGGTGTTGGAGGGCGTAGGTTTAGAACCTGCGCCATGGTTTTGGCATAATTTTCCTTCTGCTAGCAGGTAACAGATGCTTTATTGCATGTTTGGGGGTTTTGTCCCTGTATTTTGGTAAAATTGTGAAATCCACCCCTTTACATTTTGTAACCAGGTATTGATATCCTTCAATACTAATTTGTTTTTTTTTGTTTGATGTTAAATTGATTATCATGACTCAATAAAAAAATGTTTAGAGATCATATATGCATCAATGATGAGCAGGCCTACCAATGGTGTCAGATGGGGCGGTTTTGTATCGGGTGAAATGGGTTCGTGTTAAAAAAAATTTTCATCAATATCTTATTCATTTATATAAACGGGTTCAACTATCACACTCGTACATGACTCGTTTATTAGACTGGTTATCTGACATAACTCGTATGTCACCCGTTAAATAAGAGAATTAATTAAAATATTTTAAGTCCACACAAAAAATCATCAACTCGTCACACGTTACACATGTTTGACATGTTTATTATAACAATAAATCATGGCTAAGTGAAAAAATAAATATTAAATTATTACTAAATTCGAATGAGTCGGAGAGATGGAGAGCATGAGATGAGATAGGAGGCTGAGAGACCTAATTTTTTTTTAAATTTATAGTGTCACTGTTAACTAGTTAAATGGGTTGAAATAAGTCTATGGATTAAACACGATATGAGTTCGTTTATTTTACGGGTCTGCCGAATTAACCCGTTAACCACTCGAACCCGTTAAGACTACACCCAAACCATCTAAATTTGTGTGGCTTTCACAAGTCATGTCTAGGATTGTCAAGCCTAATAATGGTTAATTATCCTTCTAATTTTCCAAACGATGTATTACAAGTAGGTCTGCCAACGAATGTAACTACAACCAATTCAAATTCGATTAAAAAGTTCTAATCTAGAATTCAATCTAATTATCAGACAAATATTATTTTTATAAATCATATTCAAATCTATTATTAATCAGATATTCGATCCGAATAATTAATTTAAGTAGTATTGCAATAAATTACCTCTAACTATCAATACAAATAATATCTTAATTTCATCATAAAATTCATACAAATACAAATAGATTATTCAGATCAGATTATAATAGGATTGGATATTAGTATATCCAAATTTGAATCCACTAAATATGATTAAAAAATTTGAATATAAATTATCGATAAAAATATCAATTCATATCTGCTTAATTATATTCAAATTCAAATTGAATTCGCATCAAAATTTGATTTATTGACAAACCTAATCGTGAGTTTGACTTGTAAAATAATTTTTCAAAAGGTTAAGACTTTCTACTTTATTATTTTTCCCGGAGCTCGCAATAAATGTGAATTTTGTATATTGAATTCAACCTTTTACCAAGTTCTATTTTTTCGAATTCTGAATAGATCGTCGCACCTTGAGTTTGTTTAAGGACATGTTTCTTTAGAAATAAGGATAGTTCGCCCAAAAAAGGTGTGAAAAGTATTAAACTTGAGACCTCTTTTTTTACAAGAGGATATATTTGACCACTGAACCACTTTTAATAGTTGCATAAAACTTGGTTTTGATTGATTGAATAGGATAACTTTAAGAGTTACTATCATGATGACCTAAGTTTGATTGTTGGAAGTTGATGAGCCAAAATTTAGTTGGGTTTATCCCAATAATCAAGTAAGCTTGGATTAGCTAAAAGGCGAGTCAAGTCTAGTTAATCAATTCGACTCAGCCCATGGTCCAATGAGTCCATGTAGAAAATAGCACATGGGGGAAAAATCATCAGGATACACACTCTCGAAAATCAAGATTATTTTAATTGTACTTACCTTTTGTAACTATCCTCCTAAAAAATTAGTGTCTTTACTCTCACGTCACCACCTCAATAAAAGCTCAATACCTATAAATTGTAATTCTCTTCACATGAGATGACACATCTTGCCACCTCTCTACACACCCCTCACATAACTTTTCTCTCTCCTAGCTATTATATCTCTCTCGGAGCACACCTCTCCTGGNATGATATTCGATCCGAATAATTAATTTAAGTAGTATTGCAATAAATTACCTCTAACTATCAATGCAAATAATATCTTAATTTCATCATAAAATTCATACAAATACAAATAGATTATTCAGATCAGATTATAATAGGATTGGATATTAGTATATCCAAATTTGAATCCACTAAATATGATTAAAAAATTCGAATATAAATTATCGATAAAAATATCAATTCATATTTGCTTAATTATATTCAAATTCAAATTGAATTCGGATCAAAATTTGATTTATTGACAAACCTAATCGTGAGTTTGACTTGTAAAATAATTTTTCAAAAGGTTAAGACTTTCTACTTTATTATTTTTCCCGGAGCTCGCAATAAATGTGAATTTTGTATATTGAATTCAACCTTTTACCAAGTTCTATTTTTTCGAATTTTGAATAGATCGTCGCACCTTGAGTTTGTTTAAGGACATGTTTCTTTAGAAATAAGGATAGTTCGCCCAAAAAAGGTGTGAAAAGTATTAAACTTGAGACCTCTTTTTTTACAAGAGGATATATTTGACCACTGAACCACTTCTAATAGCTGCATAAAACTTGGTTTTGATTGATTGAATAGGATAACTTTAAGAGTTACTATCATGATGACCTAAGTTTGATTGTTGGAAGTTGATGAGCCAAAATTTAGTTGGGTTTATCCCAATAATCAAGTAAGCTTGGATTAGCTAAAAGGCGAGTCAAGTCTAGTTAATCAATTCGACTCAGCCCATGGTCCAATGAGTCCATGTAGAAAATAGCACATGGGGGAAAAATCATCAGGATACACACTCTCGAAAATCAAGATTACTTTAATTGTACTTACCTTTTGTAACTATCCTCCTAAAAAACTAGTGTCTTTACTCTCACGTCACCACCTCAATAAAAGCTCAATACCTATAAATTGTAATTCTCTTCACATGAGATGACACATCTTGCCACCTCTCTACACACCCCTCACATAACTTTTCTCTCTCCTAGCTATTATATCTCTCTCGGAGCACACCTCTCCTGGAGCTTTCTCTCTCTACTTTATTCATTAATAAATGTTCTTTGGTCACCGTTGTCGTTTTTCGGAGTGAAGTAAATTAGTCGAACCAAACCACTATAAATCTATGTGTTGACTCGATATTTATCTTTTTTGTCATTGAATGCTCTATTAATTTTCTCATTAATTACATAATACCATACATTCGACCATTAATCTTGCACCAGGCTATTTTGTGCATCATTAGAAGTCATTCATAATATACTTGATTTGGGTGACTTATAGATAGTTCTACGTGTTTAGAGTTTAAGTGAATCTAAATAGCACTATAATGATCGTTTGTTAAATGAAGAAATACTTGCATAGAATTTTGCTTCATGGTATGCATGCTTGATCTGTTAATCTGAATGACTCACTTTCATTATAAGAGATGGTTTGGGTTTGTGTTAACTTCTAATCAATGAAGACGATAACAATTTTGGATACGGGCAAGTGTTGTACAACCATTAGTCGATCAGAATCATCACCAAAACATGCGTTTTTTTAGCCAGCTTGATTAGCTACATTCAGAGCTTTTGATTTCAATAATCTCATCCCTCAGTTGCAAAGTTTAGAGCAGCATTTTCACTCATCTGGGAAGAATTTTGAACTTTCATTTCTCTTTGGTAAACAAAATCATATCTTATCAACTACCTATGACATAGCATTGCATTGCCATAGTGTTTGGTTTCCTAACAAGATGTGTTGTGTGTCACCTGAGCCATAATTTGCTGACACCAACCAAAACACAGAGTACTCTGAAAAGGATTTATAACAACTATTACCTGGACTTTGTAATATGGCTTAGAACATACAAAGAGAGCCTTATAAAGAACAGTTGTGCTGCCATGTAGAACAGAGTGAACAACATCCAAACACCCCTTGTCACCTTACTTTTGAACAATGACTGGGAACTTATTTTGTCCATTAGATTCATCTGGAAGCCAACCATTTTCTGCCCAAAAATCAATAATTTAACACCAATTGATTTTACGGAATCTTCGATATCAAAGCCATATAAAATCTTCCACATTGCTTACTAGTCTAATAGGTTCAATATGAAGGATTGGTTCCATAAGCATCTCTACATTCCTGCAATTTCACATAGCATTGTCACTAATGGAAAGAAACAAACTGCATTATAGGTTACCAACGGGTCAATATGGTATTTTCTAGCACTCCCTCCCCTTTGTACTGACCTTATCACTGCCTTCCCTTGGTAGATATGACACATGTAGAAGCTGAAACCCTTTCCAAGAGGTGCATGAGTCTTTTTCCATTCTGCAGAAACGAATGAGAAGAAAAGATATTGATTTTCCCTCAATCCAATGTGCACGAAAAGAATTTTGATATTGCAAGGAGGAGGAGAAAACCTAGTTTCCAAGAAACACCAACAGTCATTCCGTGATGAAGTGTGGGCTGCACCACAAATTCAATGTTATTTCCCAAGTTCTGTATCAGAGAAGAGAAGAAATCCAATACTTGCTGCATGGGCAAAGGCATCATTGATTAGATAGGACCATCCACATAACCATCTGCCAAAACCAACTAAAGTTGGCAACATTACTAATTCAAAATGACCAATAAAATCCAGCAAAGAGAGAATATTGCCTGTCTGATGGTGATTAGATAGTGTGTTTAAGTTACAGATGAAATGGTGATTGTGAGTGTACTTCACACTATTTGAGGTATAAATTGGACATACCTTCTTCCCATGGAAGGGTTTGAATGCTGAGACAAAGTTGCATATGCAACAACATTCTTCGCCAATTGTTTCAGACAGTTCATTAAGGTTTTGATTCTTAATTGCCTTATGAAGGTTGAGAACTGTTTCCAAGGCCCTGTGGTCTTCCTCTTCATTCTTTGGACCCAATTCTTTTGCACCAAATGCCACTAGCGATAATCCCGTGTGCCTTAAGGAGAAACTCCTCTTAGTCAAAGCTTTACCTGAATGAAAACCACTAGAAACATGTGCTATCTGAGGTGAATTTTTGTGATTGAATTTTGGGAACAGCCAAGGTCTATATGAATTTCTATCTTCTGAGATGAAGAGAGAGGAATTTGAGGACATCTCACCACTGAACAAAATAGATGGGAAAGAGGCTGAACCCATGATGATTGGGTGAATGAAAATCAGTTTGGAAAGTATTCAATTTCCAAAAGGAGGAAATGTATTATATAATAAGATCCTAAAACCAAAGACTATTAAGTTCAAAAGAATAAAGCAATATGCAGTGATAGCAAGCTAAGCATCTTTCTTTAATGCAGTTCTCATAGCAGAGAAAGGGAGAGCATGTACAGATTTTTTCATTTGATCCCCGAAGCTCCAAAAGGATCACCACATGTGGTGTCATACAGTTTAAATAAATATTGTTTGACAAAACTCTGTGGTACGAGGATAAGTTTTGGAGGACAATCCAAAAAAATATGGTTGGATCGAGGTTTCTTGTATCAAAAAATAAAATAAAATAAAATAAAGCTCCTTGCTTGCGGGGTGATTGATAGTATTTGTTGAGGCGAGAGAGGTAGCAAGAACCTCAATTGTTTCACTGCACTCCCTTTTAAATAGACTAAAATGTCCTCAACTCTTTCCTCATTACATATAAGAAAATTTTCATCTACATCCCTTATAGTTAGGTCTAATTTCAGTGACACCTTCTTTTAATTCTAAAACTTTNACTGCACTCCCTTTTAAATAGACTAAAATGTCCTCAACTCTTTCCTCGTTACATATAAGAAAATTTTTATCGACATCCCTTATAGTTAGGTCTAATTTCAGTGACACCTTCTTTTAATTCTAAAACTTTACTACATACCCTTTTAATTATATTTTCAAATTATTGACACCCCTTAACGGTAATTTTTGTCTCTACCAGTAGATAAAATAATGATTTGACTAAATATTTTGTAAAAATGCCAAAATTACCTTATATTATGTAAATTGACTAAAATGCCCACAATCATTTCTCCATTATTTATGCCCTATTCAACCAATAAGCATGATTTCTATATTTTTATAGTTAAAAATATTTTTTTTATAATAAAAATTATAGTCGATAAAGTCAATGTCAAAATTTTATCCATTTCTAACTCCGTTGCTATCGTCTATTCTCCACAACATCACTTGACCACTCTTCATACATCACCTTTCATAGATAAAATTTAAATATTAATTGAATAAATTTGGTCTTAATTTAATAAATTTAAATATTAATTTGATAAAATTAAATATTAATTCAGTATTGATTTGATAAAATTTAATATTAATTGAATGAATTTAAATGTTACTTTAATAAATTGAATATTCATTTGGAGTTAAATTAAATAACTGACATTAATTTGATAAAGTTAAATGTTAAATTAATGGAATTTAATATTCTATTTAATATGTTAAATTTTAATTTAATAAAATTAAATGTCAATTTGGTATTGATTTGATAAAATTAAATAATAATTTAATGTTAATTTGAAGAAATAATATTAATTTGATGAAATAAAATATTAAATTAATATAACTAAATGCTAATTTGATAAAATTAAATATCAATTTGTGTTGATTTGATGAGATGGAATGTTAATTTAGTTTAAATTAAATAAAGGACATTACTTTGATAAAATTAAATATTAAGTTAATAAACTTAAAGACTAATATAATAGAATTAAAAGGGAGTGTATTGAAATTTCAGAATCAAAATGGAGTATTGTTAAAGATAAGCCTATTTACAGGAGGCGTAATTAAAATTATATCTATTTACAAAAGATGTGGATAAAATTTATCTTATAAAATATTCAAAAGTATTTCTATAAATTAACAATTGTTATTATCACCGCAAACCCGACAAATATTTACAATGGGTGATAGGGAAGTTTGAGAATCCGGAGAGGGTATCATTAAATTTAAACCTAATTACGGGGGGTGTGGATAAAATTTTTTCAATAAAAAAGTAGTGTTCGTAACTGCCCCACCACCACCACTATCAACAGCACCCCCACTACCATCACCATGGCCACCTCACCACCACCACCATCGTCGTCGCCACCCCACCACCACTACCACACACATCACCCTACCACCTCCACCACCACCATCATCGTTATTGTCACTCTACCACCACAACCACCACCACCCACACTGCCATCACCACTACCAACTTCGTTGTCACCCCATCACGACCTCTGCTACAATAACCACCACCACCCCAGTATCCCCGTCTTCTTATCACTACCATCCTCACTACTATTATCGCCATACCACCACCATTATTACCACCCTATTACCACTGCCACTGTCCCACCATACCATTATCACCCCCACGACTATTACCACTATTATCGCCACCGCCACCACCACCACCATTGTCACCCTCATCATCACCGCCTCTACCCCACCACCATTGTCACCATTATTATCGTCGCTGCCATCGCCACCATCACCACTATTGTCACCTTCATTATTACTATTATCGTCGTTCATCGCTACCATCGTCATCTCATTCGTATATTTATTATCACTACCATCATCGCCCTCCATCAACACCCACTATTGTCATTGTTGCCCACCAGCACTCACTGTCACTCATTATCACAATTGCAGCCAGTCACTGTCACCCACAATCACCACCAGCCACTGTCACCCACCACTATCACACCTACCACCACCACCTTTCATCACCTACTACTGTCGCCACCCACCCCCACCATACTAACCACAACAACCACCGCCATTCACCCCCACACATCATATTGTCGCCCAAAAACACATGTCGTCGCCTATCACCACTATCATCACTGTCCACCACCACCACCACCATTACCGTCGTCCACCACCACCCATACACACCACCGTTGTCACTTATGGCTACCACTACTATCATCGTCACTCAAAACTCACCATAACCATCACCATTGCCACCCACGGCTGCCACCAACACCACGATCATCTCCACACACCACAATTATCACCATCTCCCACCACCACCATTGTCGTCCACCACCACTACCATAGTTCAACCTCATTACAATCGGTACTTCAATTCATTTCTCTCTCATCTATATTTAATATTTGATTTTGAGTATAAATACAAATATATTTATTATTAATTTTTTTTATTAGTTTGTACTTTCAGGTACGGACAATAAATAATATATATATATATATATATATATATATAATAAAATCTATATAATAAAATAAGAGTGTATTTGAATTTTATCTCAGTCATATATTTTCTCCTCAAAACCATCATCAATCACTTACCTCACCCATCATTTCTTTGTCAAACTCAAACGTCAAATCATATCAGTCATTTCTATCACATATTTAATCATTTATATATTTCCTCCCTAAAAATATCACACAATTCATTTCTATCATATATTTAATTATTTAATATTAATTAATTTGTAGTTAATATATTTAAAAAAAATTTAATATAGTGGGATCGATTTTTTAAACGTTCCAATTTATATTTTATCGTGTCTTCAGGCACGGATTATGACTAATAATTAAATAAAACACATTTGTTGTACATATATTTTTATGTTTGATCAATTTATTGTATAATGAAATTTCATCCTTCCAACAAATCTATTAATGAGGTTTTCTAAAAAAAATTTAATTTTTATTCTTAAAATCATAGAAATTAATTATTATGTACAAAGACAATAGTAGAAATCAAAATTTACTCGCGGGACAAGAATGAAAATTAAAATTTTTCTCACTAACTAGAGTAAACAAATATTTTTTAAACCAGATACAAGACGAAGACTACTAACCTTGCCCCTACCCCAATCTACTACCGTCCCTAACAACGTATAATATTTTTAATTTTTCTCATCACAATCTACCTCCCCCTACTGTCACCCAAAATAAAATAAAATAAAAATTCCTAAAATTGAGATAGATTTTAGAGTTTATCCAACCCCAAGCAATGAAATGTGGAAGTAAACAAAAAAATTGAACCCCACTGCTGCTTAACTAGTAGAAATAGATGAGTGACCTTGGCATAAAAGTGCATTATGCTCCCAAAATCGACTTGGACTTGGAGTAAAAAAATTATTATATATTTTATCATACCAAAAACACCCACGGTAAGAATAGTCTGTCACCATTTTTTGGTAAATAATAATCCAGCCTCTTAGAGCACTCATTTACTCCTCCTAGACACATGTAGCCCCCATATCTCACATACTAACGCATGTTTATCGAAGTAGAAACAACTACGACAGTCGAATTAAAAAACATATTTCATTATCCTATTATCTGTACAAGCTGAGTACAAATCTTCTATGTGCAATTAAAAGTCCTTTTGTCCCAAAATTGCAGATGTAATTTATGCTTCACCAGGTACCAAAGCTGCAACCAACATGCTCTTGAGTTATAATGCCAAGACGATCTTGCATAACCGACTGCGATGGATATGATGGAAAGCATAGCCGGTAGAAGCATGTGTGTGAGGAAGGCAGTCGATCATAGGACTCTGAGGACCTGTAGATGTAAAGCCGAGAAGCCAAACCACCAAAGCCCTCTATTGGTAAATACTTCACCGAGGTCCAAAAGAACAGGAGAACCTTTCTCTGCTCTGCTGACATTCCTCCAACGATCTATTAAGCATATACATTAGAGATAATTTGTAAAGTGAATAGAAAAATCTATCATTGATTTTTCAAAGCTAAAACATATCATAATTAGTACTACAGGTGGCAACAGGAAAAAGCCTGTATGAATCTCCTTTTTCCACTAGTAGTGTAAATAAGAAGAAAGTTCCTAGTTTGACCTCCCTAGCTTTGTCCAAATTAATCTTCCAATTTTCACTGCAAGCTGCATATTGACTTAACAACTCACAAATATCACACGTTTATACCAACACCTCAAATGGTCCAACTTCTACCATCTCCATTACTCTCTATACACACACACCCATCGATAAAACAAACCACAAAGTTATTTTTTGTCATGCTTCCTGAATTTTACAAGTGTGTATCATCAAATACTGATGACGTGAGTTGACTGAATTGTAACAAGTTGTAGCTGGTAATTGCAAAAGAATTCGGTGTTACAGTAAATTACAAACCATTAATTTCCAGAAACAAAAATGCAAACAATTAAGAATAACATAGAAGATCTCATAGGTCAAAAAGGAGCTTCAAGCAAATCTCATTTGGGCAAACCAAACTGGATGGCAAAGCTCTGGTCTAATCATTTTTGTGATTGCTTTGGACTATTTGCCTTTTTTTATCTCTCTCTCTTACTTCCAAGGTATCACACACATATAACTACCTCAGGAAAGAACTAGATGACAATTCTGATAGTGTGATTCAAAATTTTTCCAAACCATTGATGCACCAACCAATCGTGCACACAAGATACTAAATTCTAGCTGCAAACATACTAAACGGCAGAACATTATAAGCTTTTTGCTCTCCACACCCATCTAAGGCAAATAAAAAGATTTAGAAACAAAGAGAACGCTTATACACGAGCATAGATCTGCAACAGAGATTTAATTTTCATGTTGCTATGCAGCCTACATACATAGAAAAACACGGCACAATCTTTGCTTTAAGTCGGTGTCTACTCCACAATAAAGATATCTCCTTGTGCAAAGACTAAAGTCATGCAAGTACTTTTTACTAGAACCATCGTAGGAAAACAAGTTATTAAATAATTGAGGAAAAGAAATTACTGAAAAATAAAAGCCAAGAATTAGCAAGCACAAACCTTCCAGAACCAGAATATCTGCGGATCAGTTTCTTTATAGCCATTGTATTCTGTATGTGCCTTCCAATCTTCGACGGAAATAGCACTTTCACTTCCATGCAGAATCCAATCAAGATCCTCGAGCTCCAAGCTTTGGAAAAAGAACTTCTGGAGCCTTGAGCTACTAATAATATCCGCAAATCCTTGAGCAAAATGAGCTATCTGCTCAGCAATAGATGTGACAAAATGATGCTGAATAAGAAGATCAACATACTCCTTCCTATTTTCACTATTCACAACAGTTTTTCTCCCATCAGGGCGAAGCTCCACAATGTTCCTGGATCCTAGCTCTTCAACTTCTCGAACAAATGTTAAACCTAGAGCATCATGATCTACTGTCTCAGGATCCATCTCCAATATTTGCTTGCAACTACTGTACAAGTATGGATCTGCATCCCGTATATCTTCCAAAGAAACTTTCATTCCAGCCAATTGCAAGAAAAAAACACGATCAAAGACAATACCAACTTGCACCTTATGCATCAAGGCTAGGGCAATCACTCTGCCAGAGAAGTTAAAGTATTCAAGATGCAAGGGATCCACCTTAGACGCTGCAAATAGAATACGACATACAGAAACAAGCATTATTTGTTACGTTGATAGAATGAATTTCCCTTGTGATATGATTTGCTTCAACTATGTATAAAACCCATGAACTAAAGCAGAATCATGCCAATTTCGTATAAAACACATGAACCAAAAAAACTCAAAAAATAACTTACAATTTTCAGAGGTATAAATAGCGATGCTTGTGCTACACATACGGTAGTGATGAATGACAAGCAACAATTTAGTGGCAATGTACTCACAACTTCATTAATATAGGTGTAACCCATAGTTACTCAACAAGAACATGGCATTTTTTTGGACAGAATTTGGGCCCAGATCACGGGGGTGGGGTTATTAAAACGGGCCTCAATCACGTGGTTCATCAGTGTGTGTGTGTGTGTCTTGGTCCCCTAACCATCATGTCGCTGACAAAACTTATTCTGCTTCACGAGTAGACGATAGGGGGGACGTAACCAAAATACTATCCACAAAAGCCAGTTTAAGGAAGAGAAAACAAAGGAGAAGAGAAGAGACGAGAAAAAAAAAATTAGTTTACTTCTACAGTTTATTTATTTAGACAAAAAGAATGAAGAGAACAGGGTAGAATAACATGTCTCCAACTCTATCCCTTTCCCAATCCGTTGTACCTTGTGCCTGTAGCCCCACTTTTATTCTTCTCCTTAATTTGAGTGATTTAGAGTAGGCAGACCTGGTCAAAGCAATAATAAATTAACCACCAAAATGTATGTTTAGCTGGACGACTATGGTAGTTGAGTTGATATGGGTGGCAAACATTGAAGCAAAGTAGGCAAACTAAAGGCAATGGTGTGCTTGGGTAATGATGAGCAGTGTTGCATCATAGTTCACCAACGAGGACAGGTAATTCCTTCCATCCCTTTCCCTCCTAAGATTCAATGTTTACTAACGTAGCCCACTTAATCAAGTATTGATCATGTAGAGGGTTAAGTATGAAGTTGTATATCAGGCCCACAGGAAGATTTCTCTCCATTATAAAATTGAAAATGAGATTACCAGTAAACAACTTATAGAAAACAGAATAAATCAGTACTTGATGAGAAAGGGGCCACCCATCAATTCTTACCAAATAGAATTAGCACCCTTCTCATGTCGCCAAATATAAAAGACCAATCATACAGATTCAAAAGAACTCGAAATGAATATGAGATTCACATAACTTTTTTTAAATCAAATTAGGATTCAAATAATTACTTGTCAGAACTTGAATCATATATTGTAACATTTTCCAATTTCCTGTATACAAGGACATAAATCCATGATTCGATGGTTTTCTTTTTCAGAAGCAACCAAGACGTGAGGAATCTTTAATATTTCAAAAGAGAAGATTATTGAAAGAAAATCCCAACACCAATAGATAACAATATAACACCATCAATATCACAAACATTAAAATTTCACCACAATGGTATGTCTGATATGCGAGCGAAAATAATTCAGGTGTGTATGTGTATGTGCACAGAATCAATTATGATCCAACATAGTCTCATAAATGGCAGACATTATCACATAATTGAGTGTGACCATGCACCACTAACAAAATTTCTGAAAATTGTTCCATACATCAACTTTCAAGGTCACATGCACCCCAAACCCAACCAACCCCCCTCCCAAAAAAAATACACGTGTGCAAGCTTTCATGCGCGGGTGACCCAAATGCGCCATGCAATGGGTGCTTGAAGGGATATATCGAGCCAAGGAAAAAGTAGATATGCGCAAGACAAGTAAGAATGAATTCCTCAGAAAATGTAGCGATAAAAAGAAAAATGCATAAAGAATAGAGAGAAGCCAATAACACAGTTATTTAAGGCATTAGGCGAATCGAGGGACAAAGGTCCCCTGAAACCTAGGCGAGAGGCAAGGCAAGAGCTTCAAGTAGTAATCAGAACTGGACCGGAGTTCAATGCGGTAGAGGGACAGGATCATTGGTTCAACCGTTGGGTCAGCCTAAGAGTTGAGACTACAGTGTCAAAAAATCAGTTTGGGTTTATGCCAGATAGATCAACTATGGAGGCTATATATTTATTGAGGACACGCATAGAAAAGTATAGAGTGCAGAAGAAAAATCTCCATAAAGTATTTATAGATCTAGAAAAAACGTATGATAAAATATCTAGAAATATAATATGGAAGGTGTTTGAGAGCAAATGAGTGATGAATAGGCATATTGAGGTGATAAAAGACATGTATGACGGCGGGTCTATGACTACAATTAGGTCTTCCGTGAGAGAAAGTAAAGAATTTCCATTAGGCACATTCAAGATGATGTCCTAAGGTGTATACTATTTGGAGATAATATTGTATTAGTAGATGAAACTCGAAGAAGAATTAATAATAAGTTAAAAATTTGGAGAGACACTTGAGTTGAAAGGGTTTAAAAAAAGTAGGAGTAAGACTAAATATGTACAATGCAATTTTAGTAATAAAAGAAGTAGACGTATTGAACAAGTTAAGATTAAAAATAAAGAAATACTAACGAGTAAACAATTTAAATATCTAAGATCAATCATTAAAAATGATGAAAATATTTGAAATGATGTAACTCATAGAATCAACGCCGGTTGGCTTAAGTGGAGGAAAATCTCTGGTATATTATGTGATAGAAGGATACCAATAAAATTGGAAGGTAAGTTTTACCGAACAATTATAAGGACAACAATGTTGTATATAGCAGAATATTGGGCAACTAGGATACAACATAGTGACAAAATGAGTGCAGCGATAATGAGAATGTCAACGTGGATGTATAGAAAACCTAGAAAGAATAGAATAACAAATCACTGTATTAGAGAAATGGTAGGAGTAGCTCCAATTAAGGATAAGTTAAAAAAATATATATTAAGATAGTTTGGCCATGTTCAACGGAGGCCGATAGAGGCAACGATTCGAAAAAATTAGAGAATTTCTCTTAATGGTACTAAAAGTACTTGTAGACCTAAATTAACATTGAACGAAATGATAAGTAAATATATGAAAATATTTAATTTAAATAAGCGTATAGCGCATGATCGAAATGAATGACGAAGATGGACTCATATAACTAACCCCAAATAATTGAGACATAAGAATTGGTTTGATTTGGTTTTCAACCGTGGAGTCAACTGGTCGAACCAATTGTATAATAATAAAATAACAATAAAATATAATAATGAAGCTAACAAATATGATATTTATAATAATGAATCAAAGATTCCAAAACCTCTCTATGATCCAACCACATCTTCGAGATGCATTTTAATAAAAAGCTTAAAATTGAAAGGCACACCAAGTATCATCAAAAGGCTAGGCCAGGTGGTCTCTAAGAGAGGCTCTCTCTGACTCTCCGTTCACGACCTTTTTGGTCTTCTAGCTCCCATTCCTTGCCATTACAAATTAAGGTACACATCATAAATTAAAAGAGAGGGAAATGATAACATAAAGTTAAGAATTAGACTTGAAATAAGCATATTACAATATATGAAGCTAAAAATTAGATGTAAAATGTTTAAATAAACAAAAAATTCAAGAACCCACCTAAGCAAATATAATACATTAACCCGGTAAAATGACCGGATCAATGGTTTACTAGTTCAACCGTTGAATCAACTGGTCAATCCGGTTGTATAATAACAAAATAATAATAAAACATAATAATGAAACTAAAAAAATATGATATTTATAATAATGATCTAAATATTTCAAACCTTTATGTGATCCAACCACATCTTTGAGATGCATTTTAATAAAAATCTTAAAATTGAAAGGCACATCAAGTATCATCGAAAAGCTAGCGCCGGTGGTCTCCAAGAGAGGCTCTCTCTCTTCACAACCTTTCAAGTCTTCCAGCTCCCATTCCTTGCCATTACAAATTAAGGTACACATCATAAATTAAAAGAGTGAAAAATGACAACAACATGAAGTTAAGAATTACATCCGAAATCCACATATTACAATATATGAAGCTAAAAATTAGATGTAAAATGCTTAAATAAATAAAAAATTCAAGAACCCGCCTAAGTAAATATAACATTATAAAAGAGAAATATTTATGTAGACACCCACCTACCCACACACACATGCGAGAGAGAGAGACAGAGAGCACCTGAAGCCATCAATTTCATAAACAACTTGGAACCAAAACGGCTTCCCACAAAGCCTTACGCCTCAAATGGTACAACACCAGGTGGTCTCTAAGAGAGAGAGAGAGGACTTACAGGGTTACGGGAAAATTTGAAGTGGAGGAGGGAAGATANATTTATGTAGACACCCACCTACCCACACACACATGCGAGAGAGAGAGACAGAGAGAGAGAGAGCACTTGAAGCCATCAATTTCATAAACAACTTGGAACCAAAACGGCTTCCCACAAAGCCTTACACCTCAAATGGTACAACACCAGGTGGTCTCTAAGTGAGAGAGAGAGGACTTACAGGGTTACGGGAAAATTTGAAGTGGAGGAGGGAAGATAGAGACCTGAGACTCTGAAATTTGAAGCGGACATGAAGATGACCAATCTAGGGCAAAATTGCCCAAAAATTGAATTTTATACCTTTGAACTCCGAACCGCTGGATTTCTTTGAACCGGACGATTCACTGATTTTTGCTAAAATCGGGCGGTTTTCATGGTCCATTAACGGTTCAACTGCATAGGTGATCTAATATATGAACTGGACCAATTTAGGGTCCGGTTCATCAAGTTACCAATTGGCCAGGCCAGTTCAGTCCAGTTCTGATTACACTTCAATGAACCAAGGTGAACATTATTAAAAACAAGCAAATATTTTATTATGAACATTTAAGAACTACATATTCAAGCTCTAGCTTTTCAATTCCTAAATTTCCAAGTGCAACAGAAAGCATAAACATCCAAAATCAAACACCAATAATATCTTAGAATCTTAACAATTTGAAACACATAAGTGATAATTCAAANAACCTATTCATTGCTTTCAACAAGACAGCCGAATGCACAAAGGGACCTTTTCTAACAAAGAGACCTTTATGTAACTTTTCCCACCTG